GGGGCTCTTTTCCTCTGACATCTTGAAGGCATCAGTTTTAACTTCCTGGCCTTTTCACCCTATCTCCTTACTTATTTAGGCGCCGTGGACCTTGCACGCGCAGAACACGCACTGTGCTGCCTCACTGTGCCTGCTGACCATGCTTTATTTTTTTCTCTTCTTAAAGGAGGTAGTGCATGCTAAAGATACTTGGGGGACTATGAAAAGCCACCAACAGGAAAAGTAAAGCCTCCCATCATTCTGTCCCCTCCAGATGGCCACTCCTGAACACGTACATGTGCATTCCTCCGCCCAGGTCCGCAAGAGCACCGCGATACATAGTCCTATTGAGATCACCAAACACAAGGCGCTTTTCACTTGCACTTTCCTTTGAGTGTATGTGAGCTCTTCCTGTATTGTTCATCACTCAAACACTCTATTTTATTTTGAGACCAAATGTGTACTATGAGGGTTATTGGTCTTGGTAATTTACCAAGAAAAGACTAAAGTTAACTGAGATTAAAAGAATCTCCTGGGTCCCTAAATGTACAGAATGAGATAAGGCTGAAGGGACTCATGGTACTCGCTGAGGGTTGCAAGAAGTGCAGTGGCAGCGCGTTGAGCTGTGACCCTGGCCATGTCTTTGCACCTGTCCCCAGCTGCGTGCCCGAGGTGAGGTGGCGCTGTCACTCAGAACGCCGCCCCCACTGCTAGGCACCCACATGGGCGTGCTCGGCCCCGTGCATGCCGGTCTGTCAACCTTTTAAGTGGGAGAGCAAGATGTCTCGTTCTACTTGCTGGTGGTGACGTTTATCGGCCAGGTGTTTGTTTTCTTGTTGAGATGATTGTCCTGCTGCTTGCACAGTATCCTGCTAGCACGACTCAGATTCCTTTCCGGGTTTATCCTTTGCCTTTTGAGGCAGTTAAGTGGTTTCTTTGCATACAGATAAAATGATAAAAATTCTAGTCAACCTGTAGTCCTTCCCTGAGAATTCTTTTGCTTTTATTTCTGTGTTTAGAAAGAGCATGTTCCAAGAATAAGAAGAAATTCATTGTTATTCTTAATTCCTTCATGAATTTTTGCATCTAAAATTTTAATTCCCTATAAAATTAAAATTGTAATTCACTGGTCCTGGGGAATGTTTGGATGTGTAATGCAAGTCTCACGTTGTTTTAAATCTCAGAATTCTTACATAGTTACTTCAAGGACATCCACCAGATAGCTTGTCTTCTCCTCACTGGCTTCCGGTCTGGACTCTAGCATTCTCATCAGCTCCCCGAGCTGCTTCTGGGCTTCCGTCCTGTCCCGTTACCGTGTGTCCGGGCTCTGGCACTGTATGCCTGGGCCTGGCAGCGCACGCCTGCAGTTGCTGTCCTCGCACGGCGCGGCGCTCTTGGCTCTGTACCAGTTCATTTTTCTCCATCATGGCGGCATACTCTGTCCTCCACCAAGGGCCCGGGAGTGAGCGTTTTGGCCTTGGCACCCCTGGGGCTCAGCGTGGCCCTTGTTGCACAGGGCAGCCATAGAAGAGTGCTCAGAGAGGATGCTGACTGCTAACAACATGCTGCTCATAAGACAGCCTGCAGCTTGATTCATCCTGAGACCATAATTTGCCAACTTCTAATTAATCTGGGTACAGTTTCCAGTCATTTTTTAAAATCATTCCAAACTCTCAACCACTATGAAACCCATTTAAACACATGTAACGTATTACATATAAAATCATATACAATACCAACTATGACTATGTGACCACCTACAGAAACAAAAGCTATCATTGCCATGAATATCTTTTCTATTTCGTTAGGAGATACATTTGTGTGTTTATATATAGTACATATGTGAGTCAAATATGTTTTTCTCATTCTTTTACCATGTAACACAAGATATATTACCTTAGTATTGAAGTGTTCAATTTACATCATTTTATGTTATGGAATATCAGGAAAAGAGAAACATCACCCAAAGGCTTTGCCTCTTCCTCTGAGAAAGGAATTCATCCATTTTCACTTGTATGTAGGATAGCTGTATCTTGTTAGGTGGAACTGTTAACTTTGTTATCGTCTTCATTTGGAGAACATGTATGGTTTAAAGAGATGTGTACAGGTACCAAGGTAACAAAGGATACAATTTTGATGGGTAAAAAAAAAAAAAAAAATCATATACAAATATATGTGTAATATATTGTGTACAGATTTGGTATCTATATATGACATCTGTCAGTATGTCCATAATATCTTACAAATGGCATATTACCTATAACTGCATGCATAGCGTATCACATGTGAATATGTATCGAATAGAGAGTTGTGTGTTATATACATAGAGGGTACTTCAAATGACATCATACTTTCAAAATCATTTGAGAAAACCACAACCTCTGTCTCACAGTGCCTTCCTGTTGCTAGCACCCAGCACCGACATCAGTGTCTCGGTTCCCTCTAGGCAGGTCCTGTGGGTTTCTGGTAAGCTTTAACCCTTGCTGTGGCGAGGGGCTCCATGCCTGCCTGCCTATCCTGTGGTTTCCTAGAAAGATCACAGGCCTGGGCCTGGAGATCACAGCCACCTGCAGGGACAAGGCTCCCTGGGAGGGATGGGAGGAAGGCTCCCTGGCCAGGGAGCCAGCAGGGCTGTCCCCCAGGACCTCCTGTCCCCCAGGAGCCTCCCTCAGAATGCTCTGTTCTTTGTGTCTGGCCTTCCTTTCATGCCTGCATGTTTAGTTGCCCCGCTGTGTGTGTGGAGCCTGAGTCCTGCTCTCCAGATGACTGCAGTGGGTGCAGCGAGGGCCTGCACCGCTCTTGACCCTGGATTTGAACTGCTCATGCACCAGCCAAGCTTCCCCTTGGAAAGCTTCTCTGTGGCGCCCGTCAGGAGCACCCCTCTCTCATTCAGAGTAAAGCATCTCCTTCCTGTGGCGGGAAGGAGAAAGCTTGGACACCTCCTCACTGTGGGCAGAACCATGTAGAGTATTCTCAGACAGGCTGCAGCAGACTGGCTCTCAGTGTGGCTCAGCCAGAAAGGCAGCAGGAAGTGAAGCCAGCTCCGCCCCCAAGGTTTGGAGATGGTTCCGCTGCCCTTTTCCTGAGGGTGGACCTTGCTGCCCTGCTGGCTCCCTGGCCCTCTTCTCTTCCCTGGGACATCTCTCATTACCTGTTTTCTCCCTGGGGGCTCCAGCTGCCTACAGCTGAGGGGCAGCCAGAATTGTGATGGTTCCTTAGCTTCAGATCTTTTCAATAAATGCTGAGGCTCAGCATCCTAGAGCCAGACACTGAAAATATGAACAGCACCGACGTAAGCAACCTGCTTTTGTTTTCTTTTGAGACAGGGTCTCTCTGTGTATTCTGTGTTGCCCTTGAAATTAGTATGTAGCCGAGGTGACGCTCTTGCCTCAGCCTGCAGTGCTCAGACTGACAGAGGTGGGCCAGCTTGCCCAGCTTTCCTTGGGCGCTGGCTGCCTCTGGTGACGCGGGTAACCCACGCCAGGCCGCATCTCTGGCCAGTCTCCCAGCGCACTTCCAGGTCAGAACCTGGCTGCTGAGGGAGGAGTCCTGTTGGGAGAACCTGGGTGGCCACTAGGTCCAGTGCTGGCTTCCGCTTCCGCTTCCCCGGGACTTGCGTGACTTGCGCATTCTCCTCCAGCTGAGGCTGCAAGCCCCAGGTGCACCCTGGGGCTGCTCTTAAGGCCTCCTGTCTGCAGGCCTCTTCGGCGGCGCCAGCTCCTGAACCCTGTGCTGGGCCTCCTTCAGTCATCTGTTCCGAGTCAGACCTGTGTTTCACACACCCGCAGTATTTAAATGGCAATGGAATGCCCTTCTCTGACAAAACTAAACAAAAAAAGGGGATACAAATGAAGGACCATTTTTTATCTGTATATACAAAATAGTTAGGATAGACATACAGCTACTTTCTCTTAATTCAATGAGAAGAAAGATTTGTACCAATATTGTTTGGACAGGATATCATGCCTGCATCTTGTACTATGAATAACCACTACAAAGACAACAATATGCAATGTATTAATTATTGAAAGTGTCCTACTAATCAGTTTTGAAAAACTGTCTCATTGCTGTTTGTTTCTCAGTAAAATTAATTTTTAAAAAAACCAGACAGGTTGGCCATTTGGGGCACAGGTGCGCCTCTGAGGGCCCCAGGTGGCCTGGCCTCGGCCCTCTTCCGAGACAGCCAGCCCTCCATGCACAAGGTTTGTGTGTCTGTGGGTCTGGCAAGTGTGACATTCGGGAGGAAAGCTGCCTTCACCCCACATACCGGACATGGTGTCAGAAGCCCCCAGAGAATACATGTGGGGTCTGCACAGTTGCAGCATTGCCTACAAGGGACGTGGGCAGCGAGGGCTTGGGGAGCCTCAGGCGGAGGTCCTGCAGCCCTTCGCCCAGGACTCCTGTCCTTAGAGGTGATTCTGTGGACGCCAGCAGGGACCCAGCCCACTGGGGACATGGCCAAGGTCACTTCACACGGGAATAAACAGCTTTAATTGTCCCCATGGGCCTCTAAGATGGTGGTTAGTTCATGAATTGGAGTGGGTTGCTCAAGAGTTTTACAACAGGGTTTTGTGGGCCTTTTTTCCCCTACAAACAAGAGCCACTTTCCCCCTGCCAACCACTTTTTATCTTGCCACCCAGACATACCCATTCATTTTGATAGTAGTCCAAACAAAACATAACTAAGAAAAAAATGGGCTCCAGCAGTGCCACATGTGTGTCCAGAAGCCGCTGGCCGTGTCCTCTCCATGCCTTCGTCCATGGTTTGCACTGTTCAGGCCAACCACTTTTTCATTAAACTGGACAATTGAGGACTCTGTGCCCAAGTCCAAGACAGGGTGGGAAAGTGTCTCAGTGCTTGAGGTCCTCACCAACAGGGTCCCCACCAAGGCGGGCCTGGGAACTAAGTTGTTTCCTGACTCTAGAGGAAAGCAGTCTCTTGTCTGTGTGTCCCCACCGGCAAGGGCGGAGCCTGCTGTCCCGGGATCCCAGTAACAGTGTGTCGTTTGGATCTGTTCCAGAGTTCCCTGAAGAGAAGAGGCAGCCGGGATACGTACAAAGAGAAGAAGGCCTCCAGCCAGGTAAGCACGCTGTCCGGCTAGGGCGCCACTCCTGAGCAGGAAGCAGGGAAGCAGCCAATTGGGAATTTTGGCAAACAAGGGCTAGCTTTGCCTTCAAAGCACTCAGAACCACCTGCCAGACACTGACTGGCTCACGGCTCCTCGGGCCGCCTTTCTGCCCGAGCCACAGCCTCTCCCCGTGTCTCTCTCTGCGAAAAGGGCTGGAGGTTTCTCGAGGAAGAGCAGATGGACTCTGTGAAGCCCAGGGAGGCGCAGGCCATGACCATGCAGTACCCCTCACCCATCTGACAGTGCTGCGTCACAGCAAAAGACGCAGCTGTGGGAGCCTGTGTCCTTTGCAAGCTGTTGGGGTGTTTTGTTTTGGATTCGGGGGTTTTGAGTGTATGTGTACATATGTTTGTTGTGCACTACCTTAAATTGTTCTGATGGAACGTAAACCATTCTAGCTGGGAAAAAGTCAGGAAAAGCTCAGCCTTTTTCACACGCACAGTGTGTGTTCTTCAGAGCTATTTTGACTTTTCTAACAAGTTCTGTAGGATTCCTTTCTCCCTTTTTAAAAAATTGCTGCTAGTTTCAGGTATTAGGGGACAGAGGTGTTATTTTCAGTTCCCCATACTCTAAGCACCCACATAGCAATGAGAGATGCCTGAGGCGGGTGCCCGAGACGCTGTGGGGTGGCCCTGTCTCTGGGCCCCAACCCCCATGGCTCCTGTGGTTCCCTCCAGTTTCTGTGTCCTCAAGCTCTCAGTCCCCAGGCAGTGCGAGCAGCGGGAGTGCCACAGTGACCATCTCACCCCCCTCTGCTCCCCCGAACCTCACCTGGGATGCCCGTGCCTGGCTCTTTCATCTTCCCAGGACTGGGGCAGGCTTCTACTTTCCTGGCTCTTGAGCAGCAGAGAGCTTTTCCTGCACGGGCAACTGTGGCCAAGTACACTAGGGGGAGTGGTGTTTGCCTGGGGGTGAGAGCTGCAACCCTGGAGCTGCCGTTCTGCTGTCTGGTTGTGCGTGTGGAGCCCTCTGCCTGCCTGCAGGGCCATTGAGAAAGGAGTTTTTGTTTAGCAGCAAGCTGGAGCTGAGTGCCATGGGAACTGCAGGCTGCCCACCAAAACCCAAAGGAAGCTGGCGCCCTGGCGTAAGGTAGGCATGTGGCCGTCAGCACTGCGGTGCTGGCGACATGGCAGCCTTGCAAGCCAAAGAATATATAGTGATGGCAATATATTTCTGTCACTTGACAAGGCCCTTCTAGCTGGAGGTGACGGTGCTGGCCCTGCGTGTGCCCCTTGCCATGCTTGCCTCTCTGCGCAGCAGGAATCGGTTCCTCTGGAGAGTTGCCGCACAGCCCTCCTGGAGCTGTCTGGGGACTCTGGTACCCTACCCTTAGGCCACCGCCTAAGGAGTCTAGGCAGGTCCTAAGTCTTCATTTCTTTATTTTTGAGACAGTGTCTCACCACATAGCTCAGGCTAACCTTGAACTCTCTGTGTCACCCAGGCTGGCCTCAGGCTCGCTGCCACCCCCTGCCTTAGCCTTGAAAGTGCTGAGATAACCAGCACACCATGGCTGGCTAGATTCCAGTCTTTGGTTACGTGATAAGACAGGGGTCCTGCCTCCTGCCAGCTGAGCCCTGGCTGTGATTACCCCTTTTTCTCAGGAGTGGACAGCTTAGGCCCAGCTCCTCCAGCACCCAGGTGCAGTGGCCCTTGAGGAGGAGTCTGCCCATTCCCACACGTGCTCCCTGGTCCCCAGCTCTGCTTCAGTCCTGGTGGTGGCTGCACTGTGCATGCGCGAGTGTGAGCAGCAGGGACAGTGCGCTCAGCCATCCCGTGGTGTTCCTGCTGCCCACATAGCTTCTTTCTTTAGGGAACCAGAAGACTGAACATCTTGTCATTTTCAGGTAACCTGTGACCCTGTCACTTCCCCTGTACAAGTGGAGCTGTGTGCTTCCACCAGCCTCAGTCTGGGCTCCCAGAGATGGGAGCGGTCCTGGCATGCTCAGGCTTGTCGGGTGCGGGTACACGGAGCAGGTCCTATGCAAAGGAAGGGTGTATAGAGGGCCCCATGGGACTGCCCCATGCGTCGCATGCACAGCACACTCTGGAACCTGCAGTGTCCAGGTCTTCTCAGAGGCTCTCCTCCCTGGTTCTGCAGCCTGGGCTCCTGGGTTCAGGCAGGAACTCTGCCCTACCTCTACACTGTTCATGGTGGGGTCCCACAGCTGGACAGTCCTGTGGCCCAACTTCTCTGCCTTGGAGACAAGGGGTCCCACAGGTGATTTGGGCCGTGCACAAACACTGGCTGCAGGGACAGAGGGGCTGGGAGCCTCCCCGGCTTCCGGAGTGGTGTTCTACTCCCAGAAGAATTCATCTACACAGTCCTTGCCCTGTCTGTCTCTTCTGAGATGTGTATATTTTAGCTCCCTGCGAATTCTGTTCCTTCATGGGAACCACAGAGACCTATCAGTGTATTTGGATTCCTTGCACATCTTTGTTTTACAAGCAGTTGGAAAGTTGCTTTTGGATGTGCTACTCTCGAAAGTTCTAAGCAACAGTATGCCGGTCTCTGGCACACAGTGAACGTTTGCTGAGAGAACGGACGAGTGAACAAGCGAGTGTGCTTTCCTTCAGTGTTGGGGCAAATGACGTACGTCCTTTATAGTTCAGAGATCTCTGCTGGCCTTTACTTAGGTTTGCACCCAGCAGTGAGAAGCATTTTGCCCAATAGTTGAGGGCTGGCACGCTTCATCCCAGCTTGTCCCAGAAACCCTTTATGTTTGCCTAGCCAACCTGAATCAGATCCTTAACGTGATGAGTGACTTTCGTGGATTACACCTCCTATGCCAAGAAAAACAAAAGAGGCACTGGCTTTTTTCTCTAGTGTGAACTGCATTCGGCAAAGCAGCCTGAGCGGTGGCGGTGGTGCTGTGCGTGACCCCACGGACCTTCCCACTGACCTTGGGCTCAGGGAGGATCTTGATTTAGACACAATGACCGTGACCCCCGGTGGTGGGGAGCAGAGCTGAGGTGCTGGGCAGTGTGTCTGCCCCAAGCCCAGCCAATGGAGTTGTAGGCACATGGTCCACAATGCACCAGCTGCATGCTCAGTCGGGGCTTTCTCTGGAGTCTTCTGTGCTGTACCTTTCTCCTCTGACTTGTGCTGAGGGAGAGTAGCTGGGGGTCTCCTGGCAGGTGGTGGGTCCTCCTCCCCTGCAGGGTCAGCTTGCTCTAGAGTGCAGGAAAGCCCCCGCTGCTTGGGTGTTGCATCTCAGAGCCTCTGGGTTTCCCTCTGCACTGGAGACACTTCTGCTGACTTCTGCACCTCTCCCAGCAGCCTTTTGGAATTGTGATAGTCAGGAGTGACCTAAAGAGTGACCACTGTTCTGTCCCCATTCACTGTGGTCATACATTGCTTTCTAGAGCCACAATGAGTCCAGACTGTGTCGGGCATGAAGGCCACATTGGAGAGGCTATGCTGACCACCCCTCTTGGCCCAGAAAGCATCTTCTCTTCTCTACCAGGCAGCCCAGGCCACCAAGGACATGGCCTCCCTGGGTCCCTCCTGAGCCCTGGGGTGGCCCATGGGGTTGCTGACCAGGACTCCTCCTTTGCCCAGCACTCGGCTGCCCCTTGGGCCTTGAGCTTTCTTGCTGTGTGGCAGCCACTGGGGAGAGGATAGCGTCAGAGGCTCTGATGGGCCGTCGAAGGCGAGGCTGGAGTGACCGCGCAGCCAGCCTTGTGGTCTGCCACGCTCAGGACTGCCCTGACACTAGGTTTCCAAAGCCCCCTCCCATCCATCGCCTCATCGTGTTGTCCCCGTGCTATCCTTGTGATACCATCTCAGGGACCTCCGCTGATGCTCAATGGCTGGGCGCAGCTGGCTGGGAGTTACTGGGCGTTTGGTCCCTGTCCCCCTGGTTTTCATGGTAGTGCCCTGGAGGTGTGGCCACTGCCTGCTGGCTGTACAACTTGGCCAGGGGGCTTGGTATCTCTAGTGGGTGCTGGTGACAACCAGTACGGCTCCACACAGTCACCCAGGGCCACCACGATGCCTATGGGCATTGGGTTCCATTTCATGGTCTCCTCCAAACATAGCCTGTGAGATACTTTCATGAGTATGCTTTATCCAAAACTGATCCTTTGGTTTTTTATGGGGCCTGCCCATTAGCTCAGTTGTTTAAGTGCCTGCTTAAGCAAAGGCAGTCAGGCTTCGGATGCTGTGGTCGATCCTCAGATCCTCAAGCCAAACTAGACCTGCCTGAAGGCATCCTGAGGCCGCAAAAAAAAAATCCTTTTGGTTTCTTGTATTTCCATGATGAAGCACCAAGCGGCAGGCCCTTTCCAGGCCCCTTCCACAGAGCCCTTTTTTGTGGCTGCTCTCCTGGGCTGCTGTCCCTGTATAACTGTGCACCAGTGCCCACGAGAAGATTGCTGTTTGTTTGTGTGTGCTGGGGCAAGGTGCCAAGGGAACACCAGAAACAAGCATTTGGTATTTTCAAGTAACGTGTCTCCTGGGCTCTTCTCTCCTGACAGGATGACAGTGCCGACCTGAGGTGCCAACTTCAGTTTGCCAAAGAGGAGGCCTCTCTGATGTGCAAGAAGATGGCCAAGCTGGACAGGGAGAAAGACGAGCTGGAGCGGGAGTTGCAGAAGTACAAGGCACTCTATGGGGATGTGGACAGTCCCCTGCCCGTGGGGGAGGCTGGCGGGCCCCCCAGCACACGGGAGGCCGAGCTAAAGCTGCGGCTCAAGCTGGTGGAGGAGGAAGCCAACATCCTGGGCCGCAAGATTGTGGAGCTAGAAGTGGAGAACCGAGGCCTCAAGGCGGAGATGGAGGACATGCGGGTGCAGCTCGAGCAGGAGGTTGCTGGCCGGGAGCGTGTGCCCAGTGTCCCAACTTCGCCCTTCGGGGACTCCCGGGAATCCTGTGCCGAGCTGCGCCGGCACCTGCAGTTCATGGAAGAGGAGGCCACGCTGCTGCGGAGGTCCATCACTGAGATCGAGGCCCACAACCAGCAGCTGACCCATGAGCTGAGCAAGTTCAAGTTTGAGCCTCGCCGGGAGCTGGGGAGGCTCAGGGAAGGCATGGGCAAGGGCACTGTGGGTCCCCTGCAGGAGGAGCTACGTTCCGCCAGGTTACAGATCAGCGAGCTGAGCGGGAAGGTGCTTGAACTACAGAGTGAGAACCTGGCGCTGCTCTCCGACGCCCACTTGGGACTGCAGGCCCCAAGCCCCCGAGACAGCGATGTGGAGAGTGACACAGGCCGGAAGGAGAGCGACGCAGAGGACAGCCGCCTGCCCCAGCCCAGGCGGGAGGGCCCTGTTGGTGGGGAGAGCGACTCAGAGGAGATGTTCGAGAAGACTTCAGGCTTTGGGAGTGGGAAGCCGTCAGAGGCCAGTGAGCCCTGCCTGGCAGAGCTGAGGGCGCCTGAGGAGGCTGAGCACCTGGTGGTCATGAAGCACGAGGCCCAGCAGCTGGAGCGCACAGTGGAGCACCTCGTCACTGACATGGACAGCTTCCTCCGGGACTCTGCTGGGCTTCGGGGTGAGGGCGAGAGGGGCCGGGATGAGCGCCCGCTGCTGGGGACCATCAATGGGCGGATGAAAGCCTTCCAGAAGGAGCTGCAGGCCTTCCTGGAGCAGGTGGCCCGTCTGGGGGATGGCGTGTCACCCCTGCCCCACCTCACAGAGTCATCCAGCTTCCTGTCCTCCGTGACCTCCGTGTCCCGGGACTCCCCTGTGGGGAACCTGGGAAAGGAGCTGGGCACGGACTTGCAGGTAAGGGGGCTCCCGGCCTCGCCTCCCCACCGCGCCCCGCTCTTCCTCCTCCTCGCTGGCCTGGCTGCTCTGGGGCTCTCACTACTCACGGCTGCCTGGCTCTGATCTCAGACCTGCATTGTACTAAAGCCTCCAGCACCAACCAAATCCTTGCTCTTGGTTGGGTTCCTGTTTTGCTTTTGAGTTCTCTTTTATTTCGCGTTTCTTCCTCCGTCCTCCTGTGTCGTTTCTAACCACGCTGCTGCTCGGTGGTTTGGCAGCCCCTCGAGACATAGAGCTCGCCTGTTTGGTCCCAGGGATCTGCATGGCCCGGCCTGGCCACAACCAGCTGCCCTGGTGAAGAAGCAATGAGGCATTTAAGACATGCTGCCAGCCCCTCACAGTCAGGATGGGCAGTGGACTCACTGCTGGGCACCGAGCCCCTCTGGTTTAGTGCCCAAGGGGCACATTGCGGCTTGGAACAGCCCTCGGGGGCATGGGCTGCCCGCTGCCACTGGAAATTAGGCAGAGTGGGAACAGGAGGCCCCCGAGAGAGAGAAGCCGGTTTTGCTGGAAAGTCGCTGCTGCCGCCACCCTGACTCCCAGGGCCGTGTCCTGGCCCAACCCAGGCATGTGGCCCACTGTGCCGGGAAGGGGCTTACGCTGCTCAACATACACGTAAGGAAGGAAGAGCCCTGTCCTGTGTCCTGTGTGGCTTTGTGCTTACAGGGAAGTTGTGACCTGCATCCCCTGTTGCATGTCCCCTGTCACCTCAGTCTGCACCCTTCTCTTTCTCCCTGCTTCCAGCTGTACCACACATCTGCATCTCTCTTCACTCTCATGCCGCTTTGTTTAAGCTAGTTTCGCTGTTCGTGCTTTTCTTGTTGGGTAGCATTTGTCCAGTCATCTATTTTGTCAGTTTTTGTCTTCTTAACCCCAACCCCTGGGCCTTTGTCCTTTGTTTTTTTTGTTTAAAATTAAAATTAAAAAAATAAAACAAATCCTCCCCTGCCTTCACAGTCCAGACTGAGAGACCAGTCAGAGTGGCAGCTGGGGCCAGACCGAGGGGATGAGCGCGACAGCCTGCACCTTCATGCTGCGAGGGAGCTACACCGCCGGGCGGATGGGGACACTGGGAGCCACCGGCCAGGAGGCCCGAGCTGCTCTAGTCCCGAGGTCAGTGCCCTGAGGCCTTGTGCTCCGGGGCAGCCCGTGGGACTTCCTGCCTGTGTCAGGGGCTTGGGGAATGGGCAGGAGGACACAAACCCAGGGCCTGCGCTGTGTGCCTGTGGGTGGCGCCCGTAGGTGCCTGGAGGTGTGCCTGAGCATGTGGGCAGATTTGGGAGCAAGCAGGGAGGAAAGCCAGGGGAGGTTTCTCCCCCCAAGTCTGGAAGAAATGCTTCTCCTTGGTTCTTCATCGCCTGTGTCTTGTGTGACCCACCCTGTCATCCCTAGGGACACTGCTCTGGTCTGGTGGCACAGTCAGCGACGTTCATGCCCACCGGTGACCTGAGCAGCTGCCTCCATTGCATGCAACCCTGTGTGCACAAAGCCGCAGCCACCTGTGTGGGCACCTGTGTTGTTCAGCAGTGGCCTGCTGTCCCACAAGGGGGGCTTCTAAGGCAGAAATAGTCCCACCCAGATCACAGAGATGTCACCAAGGAACGAATCCTGGCTGCCACCTGCTCATTCCTCGGGTCCTTGGCAGGGCCAGAGTGGCAAACTGTCTTGAGAAAGAGATGCAGCCCCAGCATTAGCACTTAGTGCCAAAGTGTGGGGTCAGGGACATGGGGACTGTCACAGCAGAGGAGATAGAAGCTCAAAAGCCAGGCAGATGAGTGAGGAAATGGAGCCCAGGCCCGCAGAGCAGGTGGGTAGGCGGTGTGGGGCCACCTCCTGCCAGGAGAGTCCAGGCAGCTCTAACCCAGGGCCGGCCCAGCCCTGGAGAGCAGGTCACTGTCTGCTTTTGTGGTTGTACTCCCATGAGAACATGGAATTCCCCACAGAAAGCTCCAGCACAGACACGTGCTCAGGAGCGTCCGTGGTTCGTGAGAGGCCAGGCCCTCCCAGCCAGGTAGCAGCTGAGTCCCTGCTCTGGAGGGAAGCACGCCTTCTTTCACGAATGCCGGGCCTGGCCATGCCAGCCCCAGCTCCCAGAGGGCAGGTGGAGCCCGTGGAGGGAACCACCGCGTCTGGGTGCCTGGCATCATGCTCTCTGGACACGGCGCTGGACAGTCATCACAGTGGGGCACCTCCAGCATGCTCGTGTTCCAGAACCACTTGTCAGATGGTCCCCGGCTTGATACCCAAAGCAAAAAGGAAGAGCAAAGGTCTCGTTCAGCGAGGGAGCGCCTTCTACGGAGGGGCCTTCACAGCAAGCGCTTGGCTCGCCCACTGCGCACCACCATCTCCTCTGCCGTGCAGGTGGTGGGCACACTGCAGACTCACAGTAGCAACAGTAATTTCCTGTGGCGCGTGTGACCCACATCCAGGACAGAGCCCTCAGGAAGACGCGTTTCCCAGCTGCAGCTGCTGCCGCACACTGAGCTCCAGGTGGCAGGCACAGCAGCATCCCAGGGCCACAGCTCCACTTCTCCTGGGGTCTCGGGCCATTCTCTCATCTGCTAAACAGAGTGAAAACAGCGCCCCGCTCTGATCTCACTGGATAGATATACACAGACAATTCTCAGGACCAAAGGGCTGTCAGTGAGGACTGAGCTCAGAAAGCACCAAGTGGGTGTAAAGTGGGTGGATGAGACAGCAGGCAGTGGACGCCGGACAGGCCAGCTGTGTGGGACCTGGCGTCGGCAGCATCCAGGAAGGGAAGGTTCTGAAGTTAAGCTGAAGAGAAGAACAGACTCTCAGGTTCCATTTGTGAATACCTTTCATGTTGCTGGCCTTGTCATTTTTTATTTTTTGTGACAGGAGAAAAAAGACAAATCATTTTGGAAGCTTGCTAGTGATGCCATGGCAGCAGCTATAGACACCACGATGGTCCACTCTCACACGTGGCCCAGTGTCACGGCTACACAGAGGCCGCCCTTCCAGGAAAGGGTACCCAGGCCAGCTTCCCAGAACAGCCAGGACCCGCTGGCACCTGCCACCCCTTCCCGCACCTGCGTGCAGACTCCTGGGGACAAGCGTGTACAAGGCCTGACACCCGCCACAGATGCCGGCACTATGCCCACACCAGGCCTAGGTCTGCCTTGCAGTCCCTTTGAAATCTGCCACGGACTCACATTTGTCTGACGCAGGCCGCAGCAGAGTATTTCACACGGGATGTGCATGTGCTTTAGAAGTTCCCAGTGAGAAGTGGCCCGGTGTGGACTCTGGTCAGATTTCACATAGATGAGAAGCCGCTCCAGAGTCCGGAAGATTGGGTTTCTGTGTCGGAAATCTCCGAACTCTCCTCCCTCGCGCCACCTCATCCCTCCACCATGGACGCGCACAAACATCTGCCGGGCCTTGTGCACCCGCTGTGAAATGCCAGCCACTGTAGAACTGCCTGGGGTTTATGCCACAGGTGTGACCCACCTGCGCCACTTCTGATAGAGGTTATGGTGGCCCTGGCCAGGACAAGGTGGGACTTAACAGAGACAGAGGCTTGGGGGAGCAGGAACTGTGGGTTCCTATAGAACACTGCTGGGTGTGACAGTGAGCACTTTGAGAAGCGCTGCTCTTCTCTCACTGAGGTGACATTCATTGTCTCCTTCGAGTGGACAGTCATGAGCTGTCTTCTCTGGAGGTGTGTAGGAAATGAGTAGTGTGGGCCACAGCTCAGGACTCGTAGCAGCGAGTTTCAGGTGTCAGACAGCGTCCCGACAGCCGGGAAGGGGAGGGGAGGTGTTTGTGTCAATAAATTGCCTTCACAGGAGGGCCTGGTGGGTGCGTGCGCGCGCTGTAAATTCAGCACTGAGTGTGTTGGACGGTGTTCCCAGGCTCGTCTTGGGGTTTGGTGATGAAGGAAGTACTTGCTTCGTGTGACAGCGCTCCCCGGCGTATATAGCTGTGGTGGCCGTGTTGACCAGAGTGCTCCAGCACCAGCTGGCCAGTGTGTGTCCGTGTTGCGTTCGCTCTAACACTGGAGTAACCCGGGCATCCCCGCACATGAGGAGTGCTTATCTCGGGGGTTTTCTAGTGCGTGAAAAACGTGGACCCCACAGGATAATGCAGTTCTGGGAAATGAGCAGGACTGGCTCTGGGGCTCCACAGGGAAGTGGGATCCCTGGCAGAACCACCTCACAGCACCCGCGGGTCTCTTCCTGGGCTCCTCCTCCGTGCAGTTCTCCCAGATCAAATGGTGCTACAATCTGATAAGAAAACTCAAATATTTATTAATATGAAAGCAGCTTAAATACCTCTAACTGAAAATGTGAAGTCCTTCAAAATCCTTAATACTTGACTCACCCCCAAAACTTTTTAAATGGAAAATTCAACACTGTGAAACTTGGTTTCATTCGCAAGATGATTAAAACATTGCAAAGTTACCTGTAGTCTGTGTGTATAAGGTGTATGCATAACATAAATGGGTTTTGTGTTCAGACTTGAGTCCCGTCTGCAGCCATCTCATTTGCATATGCAAATAGTCACAAACTCAAAACACTTCCAGTCCCAAGCGCTTTGGTTTAGGGATGTGCAGCCTGTACATAGCAACTAAATCAGCTGTTCTGTGCTTTTCTTAGCGAGCTTTATGAGAACATCAGTTTTGACATGTAGTGATAGAAAGCTTTGGCTGGTCCCTGTGCATGTGGAGCCTCTTTCTGCAGAGTAACAAGTGGCTAAAAAGCAGAGCTGAGGGGTCCTCAGAAGTGTGCAGTGGAAGGCCCCCAGCCTGCAGCTAGCAACCCCAGGCACTGCTGGGTAGTTGCGTTACTGTCCTCACCCCGGTGCCTGGACCATGCCTGGTTCCTGAACAGTGCTCGGCACAGTCAGTATCTGCTGAACAAAGTGCTGCATGAAGTACAGACATGCTCTCACCACAGGGCTCACCTCCGGAGATCTCCGAGGACTGGGTTATGCGGAATTGACGACCTCGGCCGTCCCTGGCTGTTGGGGTGCATTGGGGTGGTAGCTGCATTGACAACTTGAACTCTCAGGCTTTGGTGGCACCAAGGGACGGAGATAGGGACTTGGGCCCAGTACCGGTGCGGAAGGGGAGTGACAGGTAGAAGAGACGCTTGCCGCTGGCTGCCAGCTGGCAGGGCAGCACCAGGACCTCAGCCAGACGGTGTGGACCCCAGATTGGAGGAACGGAGCCACGGCAGTCCTCAGGGCCTGGGGCTTTGCGCCAGACACCAGGTGGGCTCCGACTCCCTGGGACAGGGCCTCATGGTCCACAGGGGCCTTCAAACCCAAGCCCAAAGCAGGGCGTGTTCTCAGCCCAGACATATCTGAGACCGTGGGTAACTGACTGCTTGCTGAAGGTGAGCTCAAAACACAGCCTCAGACCGCACTGCAAAGCAGCCACCAGCGGCTGGAGCCGGCAACGAGAAGACGCTTGCTCAGGCCTTCAGATAAGAGGATTACCGGGCAGCGCCTGTCCAGTGAGTGCACCGAGAGCCGTGGCCAGCAGGCGCACATGAGGGGGGAATGCGTTGCCGTCCTATCTGCGCATGCTGTTTCAGCTTTCGTTAGTGTGCGGCACGCCGCGGTCGTATTCCACATATGGAGCTGCTGAGTGCGCGTGTCTCAGTTACTCTTCTCTCCTTGGAGGACAAAATACCCAACACCCAAAATGAAGGAAGGAAAGGTTTATTTAGCTCAGTTACTGGAGGTTTCAGTCCATACTCAGCTGGCTCCAAGGCAGACTGGCACATGGCAGAGGGCAGCCTTTCATGGTGGCGGCAGAAAGCAGAGGGAGGAGTAGCAGCCGCAATGGCAACAGAGAGCAAGTCTGTCTCTCTGTCTCTCTCAAGTTACATCCGACTCCCCGCCCCAGGCTGGGTGTAGCACTCACACCCATAATCCCCGCAGTACTCAGACCCATAATCCCAGCCTTGGGTCATGAATTAATCACAAACTTTAGAACTGCCTCAGTGACTGCATGAGGCTTTGAGGGGACAAATACACACAAACCATGGCAGCACACGACGCCTAAGCGCTCCTCACGGCTCCTCACCCCTCCCTGCCCTCCATCTGTTGCCCCTCATTGGTGGATCTCTCCGTTTCCTGTCTTTCATTTTGCTCTTTTATTTATACTTAGGGTTCTCCTATAAGAGAAACCATGTAAAATGTAAGCTAGTATGTCTGATTTATTTCACTTCATATCATGTTCTCAGGGGAGTCTGCACATATTGAAGGCATAATCCAGTAGGCCTTTTGGAAATGACAGATTGGTCATTGGGGTGACTTCAACATGTAGACAAACACCTGTGTTCAGAGAGATTGCACATATGAAAGACTACAGTAATCTACCAACCAGTGAGTCAAAGAAGTGGGTAATGTTTCCAGATGCTCTTGAGTTTCTTAAAATAGGATGAGTTTAAATCTCTAGCTTTCAAAAGTTTTCCCCAGGGGTTCAATCCCCAGCGAGCCCTTGCCGGCCCCGCCCCCAGGGCATGCTGAGTCGGTGATTGAGACTGGATGTGGTGGTGGTGGCTGTAATCCCAGCACTTGCGAGGCTGAAAACAGGAGAAACATTACAGATCTGATCTGTGTAGTGAGACCCTGTAGATCTTGTACTACATACATTTTTTTTAAATGTTAAAAAAAGTTTTCCCCTAAATCGCTAAATTCCTGGTGAGTCTCAAGCTCTGGCTGTACTCTGCCTCCGTAGCTGGGAGGACGGGGTCTTTGCACTTGGCTGTCCTGCATTTCCTGTTACTGGGGTCTGATCCTTGCTTGCAGCAGCCTTGGTCCCATCAGGCCAGGGAGAGCCATGGCCTCCAGGAAAGGAGACGAATGTGTGAGGGGGCAGGAGGAGCCGGTGGAGTGGTGCATTTCTGTGGCAGCTGGCCTGGCTCCCACGTTTATGAATCACCTGTGTTCGCATCGCACAGCCTTGCAAGTAAAACGTCAGGTTAAATTTTAACTATGCTTGAAAATTTTAGTGTAACCGTGTTTCCACCTCTAAAATTCATATTATTTTAAAAGTAGCAGTTTTTGTGACCTCTGTCCTGCATCCATTTGGACATAAAAGATGGAGATCACTACAAAGAATAATAATACAGATTCCTTGACCTGTTTTCAACGTGGGTGTAACTTCTAGCCTCGGTGTGACCTTCTTATGTGATAAGTAGACCTCTGCTTAGATCCTCCTGGGCAGTGTTGCCTCTGTTGGGCTTGAGGACAGGTGTCAGCTCTGTCCCTGGAGCACTGGCTCTGGGACAAGGGTCTCTCCCCAGCAAGCATCTGAACCCATGGACTGTGCATATGGAAACTCCATGTGGCTTAAGGGGCAAATCTAAGAGCGGAGAGTCAGGCTCACCCAGGCGCCTTGCCAGGGTCCCCAGTCCCCGGGTGGCCACATGGTTATGCTGGTGGCAGACCTCAGGTGCTGGGTCCCCTCAGCCACCTTGCCTGCCAGGTGGGAGATGAAGGGAGAACGGCATCGACATTGCCAGGTCACACAGGTGGCCACAGGGCGCGGACTCCTGGGACGTCGCCACCGTCACTCCACTGCTGCATTCCATGCGTGTCACTCGTGTGTGTCTTCGTCTGTCCTGCGTTGTCACCTGGGGCAACATCCTCGTTTTCACTAAAGCCCTTCCTTTGCCCCACCACGAGCTCAGGGGCCCTCCCATTTTCCCTGAGCAGAGTGTATCGGTAGCAGAACTTCAGGGCCAGCTCGAGCAGGCGACCAGACTGCGGCAAGAGGAGACAGAGACATTGACAGACAAGATCCGGAAGGTAAATATGCACGCGGAGCCCAGCTCTGCCCTTCTTGGGCCACAGAGCTCCTGTCTGCACTGGGCACAAGGGCACATGCCAGTGAGCAAGGCTGAGGAAGGAAGAACCCGAGTTCCAGCCCAGCCTGCACAACTTGGTGACTTAGTGAAACCCTGTCTCAAAATACAAAAAAATAGGATGTAGATATAGCTCAGTGAAGGCCCTGGGGTCAGTCCCCAGGCCCAGGGCAAACCAGAAAGCTGTCACATCAGGCACAGATCAGCAGGCACATGGGATGACGCAGTCCCACTCAGATGTGTCCCCTTCTCTGGGGGACGAGCCACAGACCCCCGAAGCCGCACAGTGCCCAGCCCTGCACCCGCTGTGCTTTTCCCTCCACTGTACTCATGAGAAGCTGGACTTGGGATGCAGATGTGGAACAGCTGGGCAGTGAGGAAGCAGGGCCTCCACAGCAAGAGGCCATGCGCAGAGCTGCAAGTAGGCTCTTCTGGCGCTTCTGCTCTGGTATGTGGGGCCAGGCGTGACCTTGGGTAGCTGAAGCCACAGAAGTGGACCCATGGGGACAGGGAAACTGCAAATTGCGATCCTGTGGTGGGGCCAGCGGCAGCTCACGGAGCAGGGCCCTGCAGTCCGGCCGGCTGGGCAGCGCAACTGTTGTGTCGGTGGTCACACCAGGCGAATTCTCTGACGGAAACACCAACGCACCTTAAACTGCTGTCTTCAAAGCACTGCCACCACTTGGACAGGGGCAGGAGCTTCTCCCTGCTCCAGAACAACCTGCTGCTGCGGCTGAGTGTCCTTCACCTGCTGGGCCTCTTCCTGGAGGTCCAGGATGAGAGGTTTACAGGTGCAGGTGGCCGGCGATTTAAGTTGTCAGTGATCTCCTGGCTCACCCTTGCTGGGGCTCCTCTTCCTCCCTTTGTTCCTGAAAGATGGCTGTGTGCTGAAAACAAAACAAAGCAGCCGCCTTATTATAAAATGTGCCAGGGCTTGCGCGTGGGGCGTGTGCAGTGCGCTTGTGCCCCGCGCAGCCAAGGCCACGAGGGTCTAAGTGGGTCACAGCCTGCTTAGGGATCCTCCGTGCCCCGCTCAGTTACGGAACAGCAACCAGTGTGCTTGCCTGCCTCTCTTGGGGCCACGCAGCCCTTCCAGACGTGCCCTTGGAGGTCAGGAATGTCATTAGCAGAGGGAAGTAACTGCCTGTTACACAGAAGACAAATTCCTAACTAATTAAAAAATGTTTGGGCCTCGCACCACACGTGGTCGAGTGGTGAGGTTAGTGCTAGAGAGGCCGCCCCACAGCGGGGGGTCCCCGGAGTGCCTCGAGCTCGGTGTCACGAGGAAGGTGTATGGAAGAGACAACGCCAGCCCCACAGGCAGCTCAGAGCAGAAGGGATGGTGACCGCTGATGTCCCGGGGCAGCCCCAAGGCTGGGTCACACCTGAGGCCAGCACCTGAAGAAGCAGAGAGGGCAGAGAGGTGCTGGGTGCTGCAGATGCCGGGCCCCACTCCCCACACCCACCGCAGCATATGGGGAAGAGCCATGTTGTCGCTGAGGAAGCCGAGGCTTTCTGATGCCGTCGAAATGGACACAACAACCAGCAAGGTGTGGCAGACACCGGGTTCCAGACATTCCCCGCCCACAACTGCGCAGCACCCTGCGCCTGTGCGGAGCCCCTGCTTGGCCTCCCCGGCCTTCATTGTCACTGCTACTGGCCTCACCCAGGCAGCCAGCGTCCTCAGCCCACATGCCTGCACATTAGTCCAGTTCTCGAGGGGGAGGATCGCTGCCTTAGTAGGCATGTGACATCAGGAGAGTCCTGATGAGGTACCTGCTGCTCCAGCCCCTTTGTGGAGCCTTCGCTCTGTGTGCCCCCTTAACTTCTACAGATTTTTATCCCTGTACCTTATCTGAAAAATAAGATTTAATTTGCACCCTTTTGCTTAATCAGCACTGAGGCAAACTAATTCTTGCATGAAAGACGGCTACTGAAATATTTTAACAACAGTAACTTAGCCAGACATGGTGGTACACACCTCTAGTCCCAGCTACTTGGGAGGCTGAGGCAGGAGGATCCTTTGGGTCTAGGAGTTCATGTCCAGCTTGAATGATATAACTAGGCCTCTATTTCAAAGAAAAGCAAAAAGCACGAACTTGACACTGAGGTGGGACATACTTCTTTATCAGCGGTGCTATTACCTGCCTAGGAGAGATGCAGATCTGATCTGTTATGTCTGCAGTGTAGAGATGGGTCGGCCCACACTGGGATGCACTCTCCACTGCCAGGCCAATCTCAGTGGGCCTCCCTCCACCCCTCAGTCCCTCCCCCCACTGCCCCCACTCCCCATCAGCTTGGGTTCTCTTGCATAGCTCAGGAGGTGAGCTGGCTCCCCACTTCCTAGCAGTGGGGCACACCTGTGCACTGAGCCCAGGCACAGGGAAGGTGGGACCTACTTCTGTGGCCCTTGAGTCCCTCTGTAAGCAGGTGTCCTGAAGGGTTAGAGATGGTGCCAGCCTCCTCAAGACAGGTGGGCAATGTGGCCGTGATGTCTCTGGGCCTGGAGTCTCCCTTCCCTGGGGGCTGCTGGCTGGTTTTGACAGCCCTTGCAGCATGGTGTGGGTTAGGTCTGGTCCACACTGGGGCCCCAACTGGGCATGCGCAGGTGGAGTGCCCCCTTGTCACCCTCTCCATTCTGTTGAAGCTGGAAGAGGAGCACCTGTACGCACTGCGCTGGAAGGAGCTGGAGGTGCAGAGCCTGGCGCTGCAGAGCACGCTGCATGCACGCACCTGGGGCGAGGAGCGGGCGCTGCTGCACCGCGAGCTGAGCACACTGAGGCAGAGTGTCTTCCTCTTCTATGTCAAGCTGCGGTGGCTGCTGAAGCACTGGCGGCGGACGAAGCAGGGGGAGGATGGTGCCGAGGTAACAGCTGGCCGAGTGCTTCTCTCTGCAGCTGGTTTCTTCTTGACAGCATACCCACCCCTTTGAGTCCCCTTGTGGGTTCACAGGCGTGGGAACGCAGTGGTTTGTCCCCTTATGTTTGAAAAAAATGCCTTTGCTGCTGGGGACCACTGTGAGAGCACGCTGGTACCGACTCCATCTGGGCGCCGTTTTGCTGCCCTCTCCTTTGCCACTGACGTACCTGACTGAGGCCGTAACTCCAAGGTCCGGTTCTGTCCTTGCCCACTTGCTGCTTCCAAAGCCTTCGGCCCACTCCCTGCTTCGTCCCAGCGGTGGTGACACATGCCAGGCGCCTCCCGGGGTCTCCACTAAGCCACCTGACCCCTGCGCGTCTTTCCCCTTGTGCTCTGTTCCTGAACAGTGTGACAGCAGCAGGGCAAGGACTCGCGTTCTGATCGGGTTTTACTGAAAAAGTGAGGGTGGCCCGGGCTCTGGAGCTAGGGAGCCTGCAGTTGGCTTCCTTTGGGCCTCCAAAGACATCTCATCTGCTTTTCACTCCAGCGGCCACATGTATAATTTGCAGCCATCCTGTAAAATGTAGTTTTCATTCCTCAGGTTGCAAAAAGTCCTTAAAAATTAATTCAAACAGCTTCCTAGGACTCGTGACACGAAAAATCATTAGGCAGTAGAACTAGTTGTAAGGTGTCCTATTCTCTGGGATTTCTTCTCTAAATTATAAAGTGGTACGGCTGTGAACAGCATGATTTTTCATTGTTTTAGCAAGTTCAGCACTACCCTGTGCTGTACAGGTGGAAGAGATACCTCTGGGTGAAAGGCCCATGTGGATGTCCCAGGAGACTGAGAGAGAAAGGACTCGACAATCCATAAATGCATAGCTCTCTTCAAGCGGTGCAATTGAGGAGCCTGCCGTCCTGGGTTCTCAGGAGGTGGAGGGAGAAGGATCACTTGAGCTCAGGAGTGTGAGGCCAGTGTGGGCAGCATAGTGACAGCTGGAGAAAATCAGGCCTACTAGCAAAAGGCTGCGGGCGAAGCTGTGCGTCCTGTGTGCTGATTTCAGGGCGAGCGTCCAGAGAGCCTCCCCGGGCTCGGGGAGCTTGGCGTCCAGGGAGACCACCAGGCAGACAGGCTGGAGCACGATGGCAGCGGCCGAAGCTGTGACTTTGCTGCGCGGGAGACTTCTCCACTCACCCCGGTGCAGATCAGCGAGCAGGCGTCGTTGTGGCTGCAGACTGTGGATGGGAAGCTGCTCCACAGGCAGGTGGGTGTCTCTCCCTGGGCTGAGCTTGGTCACAGATCTTGAGTATCAGTGTCATGGTGACAGAAACATCCTCCACCTCATGGCCACCATGGTCGCTCGCAGTCCCTGGACTTTGGTTAGCAATCTTGCTGTCCACACTCACCTAAAAGCAGCCCATCACTTCTCGTGGCTCACACACACGCACATGTGAAAGAAGACCCAGATCAGAAAGGGGTGTGCATCCCTGTGGGACCAGTGCATCCATCTCAGAGCCAAGAGATTCTGGGGTCTCCTGTAGACTTGAGCAGTTGACACTTCCAGGGAACAGGGGACCTGACACGATGTCCTGACCTCAGGTAGAATGCAAGCTCAAAGCCCAGCTGGCTGGGAGGTGGGGCTCAGGAAAGAATGAGTATGCCCTTGCGGCTTCGGTCTCCAGCGTCGATAAAGGGTTTCGGGTTCTCTACGGCCATTTGAAACATGCTGTCCCATGTACAAGTATTTGGTGACCCTGTGAAAGTAAACGCACATGGGAAGAGAGGTAAGAGATCAGTGCTGCCGTGTTAGTGTCACAGAGCACCGTTGGAATGACCTGCATGGTTATGGAGTTGACGATCTCTTGGTTACTTTGGCCCAGCAGGTCCACAGGCTCCCAAAGGAGTGTACAGCAAAGAATAAGAGAGGCAGATGGAATGGCTTCAGGGCCCCGGGAGGCCCAGAGCCCTCTCACAGGGCCTGCGGCTCTCTTGGGCTGTCAAGCCCGACTCTGGATGCCCATCTGTACTTATTTAGTTATGAAGGGCGGAACTGCTCAGGACTCTCGGGTGAGGCGTTAGGCTACCCACCCAGGAGCAAGGTGCCAGAGGCTGCAGCCTTCACCCGGCTGAGGTTGGAGCAGGTGTCCTGGCTGCGACCCTGTCTTATGCTGAGGCGTGTGGCTCCACCCACCATGCCAGGCCCCAGCAGGGACCAGTGACCCCCAGAGGTTCACTTACTAGAGTGTGCCGCCCATCTCCAGACAAGGGCCCAGGCCTTGGGCAGACTCACGGGAAACATGGAAGGCCACTGGTTAGTTAAGTGCTGCTCAGGGCTGCTTCGCAGCGGGCTCCATCCCTTGATAAACCAAAGGATAGTACTGAAAATGTCCTTTTTAAAATGCTATGCAGTTCAGGCTGGCCTAGGCTGGCTTCAAACTTGCAACAATCCTCCTGCCTCAGCCTCCCAAATGTTGGGATCATAGGCATCCAGCAGAGCCTTGTATAAAGCTTGGGATGTTGGTTCAGATCTAGGTGAGGAAAAGCAGAGGGTCTGATTTTCCCCGCGCACCAGGAATCCTCCCGCCCACTCCTGAGTGTTCCCAAGGTGGGTAACTCTGGGAAGAAAGGGTGCTTCCCAAGGACTTTTGCCCACACCGTGGCAGCGTGTTGATGGCCACTGGCTGTGGGAGACCAGATCAAGGAAGAGGCTTCCCAGCAGGGATCTAGGCCTTGCAAGCGGTCCTCAACTTAGTCCTGCTTCTATTCTGAGGAACGGTGTCCAGGTCAGATCTCTGAGGTGCCTATGGTTAGTTCAAGTGGCTTCCTGGATCACAGCAGGGTGATGTGATCCTCAGCCCAGCAGCCCACCGTTTAGGGAAAGGAAAGTATGTGACCCCCCTGGTTTTCTAAACCATAGTCTGGAAAATGTGGGCCTTGGGGGTGGAAAGTAATATGACTTGACCCAGCCCAAAGTTCCCATTTGGCAGGGTTTTAAATTGTCTCCCTTTTTCCTCCTGTTCTTCCCAACATTAGCTCTTAGAGACTTTCTTTCAGAGTGAACACAGGTGTCTGAGTATGTGGCACGGCCTTGTGCAGTGTAGGCACCTGGGGGCGGAGGAAGCATCCAGACTGGGGCAGGTCCGCCATCAAGCGTGAGTGCACCATGCTGTAAGGGGCAGCTGGGCCTGGGAGTGACTGCTCTGTGAGAAGCTCCACTTCTGTCCATGGCATGGGCGTGGCTGGGGGCGCCTGGAGCAGGAGCTAGTGGGAGTCTGACAGGCTGCTCTGCAGAGCTAGGGCAGAGCAGAGGGACGCACGCAGGGGAAGCAGCCAAGGACCTTCCCGAGAATCAGTGCCCAAGCAGGTAGCTCTTGGCCTGGGGCTGGGTTGTGGCGTGTTCCACATCTCCCGGTGCATCATAGTTGACAACATCATTTACCTGATTACCAAAAACAAGGCGCACTCACCGGCCAGGGGAACCATTCTAGAAGCGCCACCAGCTTGGCAGCCAGGGCCCTGACAGTGTCCCCTGCTTTCCATTCTGTACTCATCGTGCCATGGCGGCTGGATTGCTCTCTGTGCCAGGCATTTGGGGCCAGCACTGCCACGGCGGTGTATGCTTGGAGGCTTCTCAGTGACTCCTGAAGTCAGGGTTCAAACCCAAGTGATCAGGTGCTGGAGTCATGACGCAGCTTGGCTAATGATTCCGAGTTCCTTTCTCACTCAGGGAGGTGATGTGACCCTCCTGTTGAGACAGCCACAAGCAGCCATGCAAGACCAACAGGATCCGCTGTAAGAGCTGTGGGGTGATGTTCCCCAGCTGCCTTTGAGGCTCGCCCACTCCAGCTCACTGCAGAGACCCACCGGTCCAGGCTCAGGCCTGAGTAGGACTTGGGCACCTTTGTCCCCCAGGCATGTGCAGCCCTGCCTGTCAGCTTCCCGCAGCCACGGGGCCCTGGAGCCTGGCCTATCCGACACGTCCACACTGGCCGGCTTTCTGGCTGCCCAGCTGCCCCCTTTCTGTCTTGTCCGAGATGAAGAAGCTTCCAGAAAGAACATCTCTGCCAGATGAGACCTAGCTTATTTTTGAAGTACAAGGAGGATAAATGCAGGGCCTGGAGTGTGGTAGGCAAGCGCTCACCACGGCCACCCGACACTGCATAAGAAAGCTCTGTCCCGAGCCTCAACAGCTCCTCATGTGAGGCTTGTCTCCTGCACACTCCACAGCTTCACGGCCTCCCTGACGAGATGGCTCCCTCCACAGAAGAGGAGCCAGCTGGTGGTCACAGAGTGTCTTAGTTATTTTTTACTCATTTCTGGGACAAAATATGCAACACCCAAAATGAAGGAAGGGAAGGTTTATTTAGCTCACAGTTACTGGAGGGTTCAGTCCATACCCTGCTGCCTGCAAGGCACACGGCAGCAGTTCATGGCGGCAGAAAACAATGAAGAGCAGAGGAGGAGCAGCAGCTGCGGCGTCCATCGATCCTCTCTCCCATCTGCGCTGTGAAGACTGGCGCTCCACTGTGAAGATCAAGCTCCTCCAAAATGGCATAGCTGCAAAGTGGCACGACGAAGACCCGGACTTCGCCAAGGACCCGGGGTGGAGAAGCCTTCCTCGACTCCTTTATATACACCTTTCATGCTGAGTCACTCTGGGGCGGGCCCAATCACGCCCTAAGGCAGGCTCTCCCTGGCCTGCAGGGTGGGTCCCCTACAGCTAGGACTGCAGCCCATTCAGCCATCCAAGTTGACACAGTGTGTCAGCTACCACACCTGCATTTGGTCTGTTTGCTGTCATTTCTGCTGCTCTGAACCAACCGTGTGCATGGGTACAAGTTCACATATACCCAGGGAGACCTTGGGTAAGAGGGCTGCCTGCCCCGTCATCCCTCCCACAGCCGGCAGGTCACAGCGCACCTCGCCATGGCTGACAAAGCTCTAGCCCTCTCTGGTCTGGTTTCTTCCCAGACGGACCCTGGAGTTTCATCAGACCTGGCCTGAGTTAAGCCTCTGAATAATGACTCCGTGTTCACTTATTAAGTGTGAGTCTTATTGATTCTTCCTAGTGTTATGGTTTCTGTCTAGACGTCCCTCCAAAGCCTCATGCAGTCACAGGGCGGGCTGCTAGAGTCTGTGATTGATTCATGATCCGATGTTGGGATTATAGGTGTGAGTGTTACACCCGCCCTGGGGCAGAGAGCCTTAATGCTGCATAAGGGAGGAAGAGAGGCTTGCTGTCTGCCTCTGCCCTCCTCGCCTTTTGCTCTTGTGGTGCTTCTGTTTTCCACCGCCATGAACTTCTGCCCTCTGCCAAGTGCCACTCTGCCTTGGAGCCAGCTGGGTATGGACTGAAACCGCCACAAACTGTGAGCTAAATAAACCTTTCCTTCCTTAATTCTGGGAATCAGGTATTTTGTCTGCACAACAAGAGAAAAGTAACCAAGACAAAATTTGATACTGAGAAGTGGGGTGGTTGCTGTGACTATACCTGACCATGTGTTCAAGAGCCTTTGGGAATGGCTTATAAGAAGAGGGAAGGTGTAGAAATACCCATGAAAGAGAACCACTGAACACTTTCAGCTGTTCTGTATGGGAGATTCTGGTCAGCTCAGAAGACCAGATTGCTGACAGAAATCCTGCCTGTGAAGACTGGGCTTGAGAGGTTTCTCTGGGAAGCACCATGCTGGTTGTTGGACTCCACATGATGTGTGTTATGGCTGGGCAGAAAGCTTGTCTGTGGGCAAACTTGTGTCCAGCGACTTTACCTGAGGCTGAGATTAAGGGTGATGGACTGATTAATCTGGCGAAAGAAATTTCAAGGAAGTCAAATGTTGAAGCAATGGCATGGCTATTATTGGGAGCTTTTAGCCAGATTCATGTTGACACTCAAGCAAAGAACCCATCAGGATGATTTAAAATTGTTCTGAATTTGGCCAGAAAGAAACTCCGATAAGGTTGTGGACCACAGCGTTAGAGCTGAGATCTTCATTGCTAAGAAGCAGCAGAAGACGAGAAAGGATGGCCTGAGGGCGTCACAAGAAGCAGCCAATCTCCACCTTTTGCAGCCTCAAACCTACAAAAGTGAAAGACTTTGCTTTGAGGAGAAAGCCCCAGAGCATCTTGTTCCAGGGTGGCGGTGGCCACACAAGTTCCAGAATAGCTGTCTGAGAGAATTTGCTCCTCAGAATCAGGTTCAGAGCACTCAGCAAGCCAGGCACTCGACCTCTACAGCCAAGAGAGAAGAACATTGGTACTGCTCTA